AATATATAGTGCACTTCTGCTGTATGCTTCGAGTGCGTGCCTGTGTTTATTTGCACAGACACACATACACGAGTTGCCCGTTTATAGAAGAGATCTGTAATCTCTGTGTATGATCTTTGATAGTTGGTGTTAAGTGGTAGTGACAGGTCACGTGAACACTGAGGCTCAGACCCAGCAGGAGGCAGTGCATATGCATCTTCAGCATTAACACAATCGACATCCGCTCAACAGAAGGGTGGCTGGGTCTTTCCTTAGGAAACATATGCCAAAACTATTATCAGAGGCTACGTCATGGCCTGCAGCAAAGTGGACAGGATGTTAATGAGGAGGGAATTGTGGAAGGAATCAGGGTGCATCCCCTACTATCAAAACAGAATGCTGAATAAACAGATTATTTCCATTACCTTGCACTGTCAGCAGTCTTGGTATTTTGATCTTTATCAGGTTTGTGCTGATAAAGGTTGATTTTTCATTACTTACTTGATACAGGTTTGGGGGTGTTTTAAGTGTGTGTGTGTGTGTGTGGAGATAATGCAAACATCTGAGATGCTATAAAAGACACCGTGGACCCAAGACAGCTCATTATTTCTCCTTGACAAAGAAATCTCTGGTGCATCTTGTGATGTCTGTGACAGTGTGTAATGAGGCACTCTACTATGTCAAGCCCAGAGTCGTAATTCTGTCTTATCTGCTGCAGTAATGAGACTTTTTGAACTACTGAACTCAGCAGAAGTTATAGGTGAAAGAAAATGGTTTGTGTTTTGTAACAATCTACAACAGGTGGAGACCAGGGAATCTGAATCAGTTATTTTTCAGTTGAGGACCATGTATGAGAACCTTGAACTTAAATTCTTTAAGTTGTGTTGATGATTCCAACAGTGTCTGCTGCTGCTTTAATTTTATATTTGGCAATTTTCTTCTGTAATTCTGGATTGGAGGTACAATATTTTATTGCTTGCATTGCTTCTATTTGTTGTGGGTTTTTTTTCTTTCATCCTTTTCATCCTGTCCCTCTGCCCCTCTCAGAAGTTTTGCCTGAGTATCAAGAGTGAGATAAGTAAAATAAATACCTTTGGGGATAACAGCTGTCCATATAAGTATTTTTGTGGATCTGCTTTAGAAAACAAAATACCAGTGCAATATGAAACTATTTTTCCAAGATGCCAGCTGTTAAGAAGTTGCATTTTGATGGATTGATCAGAAGTTCAACACTTATATTAGTCTGATGTCCCTGAAATGTTAGGCTAGTTCCTCTGTTTATTTATAAAATTAATTAAATATGGCCAATGTCATAGCGAGTTCAGCTTACCATTACTTTTCAGCTGCCTTGTCTTCACCACAAAATGAATGTATTTTTTCCTACATCTTAGCCCACATACACTAACATGAGGTAAGCTGTAGCTGTAATATGAGTTATCAGGGTGACGTGGCTCTTAGCCTCTTGGCAAAGTATCTACAAACTCCTTTGTTTTGTTACGTTTTTACCAAATGTCAGCTAATGTGCGCTAAGAATAGGTCTTACTGCCTGCTCCCCCACCGGAATGACCTCAGCTGTGACCTGGAACTTCTGTGTCTCAGGCTGCAGAGATGGTTCCTGTGCCAGAGGTGTTCCAGCCTCAGCCCTTGAGCCCTGAGATTCAAATCCATGCCCTGATCTGCTAGAAAAGCGATGTTTGGTGCAGCAAAACCCATTGAACAGCCCTTGACTGGAAGTCATTGTAACTCATTATCAAGCTGAGCTCAATTTGAGGAACTAGCTATTGTTAAAGGGCCGTCTAAAACCTATGTTGTTTGTTCTTAAGCTTTTATTTGCAGGGAAAATGCCTCTAAATATCAGGTACTTCAGGAAGACTGAAGTTGGATCAGATCTATTTGTTTATGTAGCATACTGTCATTCCAGGTGACCTAGTTTAGGATTGTGATGAGATCTGAAGAGCAGATATTAAAAATGTTATTTGTGAGAGCCTGTGTGCTAGAACAATATGGGGTAAAATCATCTTAACGAGAAGCTAGATCATCAGCAGAATTTGTATCTCGGTAAATACAGTGGTTTTATTTTCCTTAAGAGGAACATAATGAGCCTCTTGCAGGAATGCATTTTCATAATGCTGAAAGAAAATAAGTAGAGGTTTTAGTTCTTTTAAAGCTTAAGCAGAAGCAATTTTCTGCAGTACCCCACAGTTGCGGCCATTGTGATTAAATAGTTATCATCAGCCTGCTCAAGATTCACACACAGTGATGGAACATTGATCAAAAATATTCTGTCATACTCTGGAAATAAAGTAACTGGTTTTAGTTTGTTTGGCAAAATAGCATAGAGATGTTTTATTATTATAAATCAAGATCCAGAACCTAAGAGTCCAAAATAGCACTGTAGCTTCCAGCTAGAAATCAAAGCCTGTCAGGTGGTATCACATCCACTGTCCTTTTCAGCTTTATTTGACCCAAGAGGAAATTTGTTGAAATGCTTGCTAACCTTTACTGAACAAGAGGAGCTACTTAATAAACATGATTTTTCCCTGGGGAGTTTTACTGCCTGGCTTAGGTTTAGGCAAGGTTTCCCCCTTAAAATTTTTCTACCCATGTTCTGAGTCTTCCGAGGAACACAGCAGTAGCTCTCATGGAAACTAGTTGCACTGGTGTTCCCCTGGAAGAAGCATAATATTTATTGACCACAGTATTAGGAAAACTAATAACAATAAAAATGCTATGTATAAGCCAATAAAAAAGGCAGATTCTTACTGTTCTAAACTTGCAAGGGGAATCTCATAAACCTTATGAGTTTTCATTATCTCATTCTTTATAGGGAAAAGGTAAAGTTATGGACAATGTGTAGGAAATAGAATGTATTTTGCTTTTCCTGAATGCATTCCGCTAGTACTTGTGCTGACTGCAGGTCATGTTATAAATGAATGAATAAAAAACGAATGAAGAAAGGCTATGTACAGAAGGAAAGCTGTATTATTACATGTTTTTCTATCCTGATTCTGGTTGTTGATATCCTCTAGTTAACAGGTTTGTTTCAGTGAGTAAAACTCATAATAACTTGTTACCTTTATTCAAAATAATAATTAAAAAAATCCTGGTTTTCTCACTTTAATGTCTTTGCTCAGAGTGAAATCCACATCACTCAAACTGAATACAAGCAAGTCTACTGATTTTCCTCCTTTTGGTCTACATCCATCAACCAGAATAAATTCCATATTGAAATAATAAATATGCCTTCCCACCGAGAGAATGGCATTGCATTCCCTTTTACTTCCAGACGTGAAGAATTGTTTGGATTTGTATGTTTTCTCTGTCAGCACTGAAGAACATGATAGCATTTCTTTGCAACTCCTGTGTCCCTGAAAAGGCATTTTTCCTTAATAGAAGTCCCTCACTTTTTACTTGATCCACTACTGCCTAAGTCATTGTGAACAAATATCTCACTCCAAGGGTATGTGCTAGAAATGCAACTGAGAGATTATTTAATAGACTTTCAGGCTGTGAGTAACACCTGCATCAGTAAGAGGTGAAAATTCAGCCACAATTTTAAAGATGCATCAGTTTGGCTGGTGGGAATGTTTTTCTTGTTTTTAAAGCCAGTGTTTTGAGACACGTATACATATACATATACCTGTATATATGTACGAGTGTGTAACAGAAAATAATTGGTTTTCATTGTTTGGATAACTAATTTTCTACAGAAAAAAAACAGTAATGGACATAAACCTTTTTGTCAAATAATTAGTCAAATAATTTGACAAATATTTTGTCAAATAGTTTAGCTTTGCATTATACGCAGATTTAGCTCTGTTCTGTGTTTTTATGTGTACACCCCATATTTTATTTATTACTGCTTAACTGTCATGCAAGTAGTACCCATTTTTGTATCATTGTTGGAGAGGAAGTTTATCAAGCACAGGCCACTGTTATCCAAATAAACTCATTGTCTGGATTTTCACAGGAAAATGAAATATGATGAATATGTAATGTTTCAGGATTTTTAAATGATTCCTTTGACTTTCAAATTTTCCATGTGGTTCATAGATTGATGAATAATTTTGTTCATGTCTCAACCAGAATAATTGAACCTGGTCTTTTAGAGCTGCATTGGTATGTGGAAAGTCATAAAAGTGAAACATATGCAGGTGCATTACCACTGCCAATGTACTGACTGAGGCTCAAATAAAAAATAAAAAATTTCCTTGCTTGAGAAAGATGTTACAAAATTCTTCTGGAAAACTGTTCTGTGCTTATTGTGTCTTAACTGTACTATTCACAATGGACAGTCTGTTTTCATTAACTACACATATCTAGCACATGCATTATATTTCTTGCGGAAGAGTGTACTACTCTATATAAGCTACAAAGAATCTGTATTCTTACCATAATTGACATGGTAATAACATATTCTGCAGTATTTTGTGGCAATTTTACAATGGTACAAAATTCTGCTGCTTCAACCTGGAATTCATTTCTTACAAAGGACATTTCTCTTGTTCCTTTGAATGATACTTAAAGGCCTCCATTGTTATATGGGGATACAAAATAGACATTAGAAGAGAAAATGAAGCAGATGACACTGGCTCTTACCAAGGGCTGATTATGCTTCTGAGAGCTGGATCTTGGCAGTAAAACACCTTAAGCTCTGAGGAGACTTAGGAAATGGTTGTTGATTTATAATATTTGATAGATTGAAAAGAAGGAACCCTGCCTAGTATAGTGTATGTCATGCTGATACCCTTTGCAAATAAAAATATAATGTATGTTAATATATGAAAATTTGGCTATTTTGACCAATAGCAGCACAAATGCATTGTTACTGAATAGCAGTAATAACCAACAAAACAGGATCAAGAGCAGCTCAAGAAAAAAAAATCTTTTACCCCTGAAATAACACTATTTGAATAGACTTGCTGCTCATGGATAATTATTGACATGACTTTTATTAATTCTGAAAATCACATCCTGCTCTGGTCCTAGAAGAACATGTTTAATAGCCCTTCTGCTTCCAGGTTCCTGAAGAAAGAGAGAATTCATAGGTGATACATGACCCTAGAAAAGTTCTGATTTCTAGGGTGAAGAAGAGTTTTCTTACACACAGATAACCTGTTAAACTGGGTGAGTAAGAAATTTTGGTCAGTTAAATTGCTTTTGGCTTTTCCATCATGCTGAGTTACTTAATTAATATTAGAAAAAAAAAAAAAAAAGAATGAGATACAAATGTAAGAAGCAGCAATTAAGTAAGTCTGACTTTGCTGTGACTGTAGAAAACTTAAGTGGAAGTGCTTAGTAGTTTTCCACTGAACAAACTACTTAAAGTCTTATAAGAGCAAACCCAAAGACTATATGGGTCAATGATAAACCATATGCCTATCCATACGTTTCAAAGACTGTCCTGTCCCTGGAAGAGATCCGGTAATTTGAGCTGAGCCCTAATACCTAATAAGGATATATTTCCAGTGGCTGGTCAGTGCTCTGAAAAAATTCAGGATACACATGTATTAAGCGTCACAGAATGAGAAAAAAAGGCAGGAAATGTATAATTTCTTAATCCCTCAGATAAGTTTTGAATCAAATATGCTATTCCCTCATGTTCTGTTCTTTATATCCAGGCTTGGTTTATTTCTTTATTTTTGCATTGACAGGATTAAGGAATTAATTTCTACTTGGTTTTATGTGTATTTTGAAATAAGTGTGATTAAAACAAGTGCTTAAGTAAAATTACCGAGGAAACATTTTGTATGCACTTAGGAAAATACACAAAGTAGAATTTATTATAGCATTCCTCTCTCATATAACTGAATGTTTCTTAAGATTATTTAATCTTCCACTATTGAGACTCACCCTAAAACCTTTAAGCAATGCATGGAAGTCTGAGGATATTGGAATTAAGGCTGGAGAAACATGTCTTACTGTGAGTTGAAAGAGAAGGACAAATCAGTGTTCTGATAAATGTAGCTGGAGGTGGGTGGAGAAGATTGGAGGAGCCCTTGTCTCCTCAGTTTGTTTTTTCTCCAGCTTGTAATGGGTGCTACAACTTACAGCTGGAGCTGTTTGTTAGCAGGACTTTGTGTCTGACCAAATAATATCAACATATAAATTAAGTAGAAGCCCTCACTTAATTTGGGGTAGAGGGAAGGATGATAATGTGGCTTCCTACTAAATTTTATTGCCAAAGTATATTTTATTGGTTGGAAGGAACATCCTTTAAGAGGTGATGATGTGCTGACTGGAGCTTTGCATCCAAGATTTATGCTGTGTACCATGGCTCTTTGATTTGTATCTATTCCACCTTTGCTTTAAAAGAAAGGGGGCTTGGAACTCCTGGATCATTAGACCTTCTAAAACTAGAATAAAAAAAAAAAGATTTCACTTCTGTTGGCAGCATTATTTTTTACTTATTGTAGCCCATGTTGGTATTATAATCAAGAAAGGAAATCTTGTTTTTTTTGTGGAATTCAAGCTCTGTCTTGAATAAGTATGGATTTTAACGCATGCTTAAGTGTGTGTCAAGGTGCACAGCTGAATGAAGCCTGTAATTTAAAATTTTATACATATATGAGCTCATTGCGCAAATAAAATCTGAGCAATTTGTAAAGTTGGTGTTGAAATACAAAATTTATAAATAGGTTAAAATACACTCTAGAAAATGAAGAGTAGAAAAATAACCATAACTTCCAAGTAATCTTAAACTGGATGTGATACTGCCATATAGACACTTAGGGACTTTAAGTTAATTATCTAAGCAATTTCTTCACAACTTTCAGTTAAAATTAAAGCCCTTGCCTCACTCTTCATTGGTTTTAAACTGCAGATTAATGAGCTGACAGAAGGAGAAAAAAAAAAACCTCACTTGACAACCTGCACCCCATGCCCACAGAATTCTGTGATCGATACTTCAGGGGAAGTTCTTGTGTCTTTAAGATACTTTGTTTTGGATTTTTAACTCTAACATGATTTTGAAACTTGGTGAAAGATGATGACACCTGATTAGCTGCCCAGTTAATCTCAGTCACAATAAAACAATAATATCAGTAATCTTTCAAAATTCACATGTTGGTAAATGCAGAGCTCTTTCTGTTATGTATTATTATTTATTTATACTATCAACCTTACCTTATATAAGGAAAGTGTTATGGTTTAGGGTTTGGATTTTTTTTTCCTCCCCACTTTGAATTAGATGTTGGTGTCCTTGGAAGTCACGTCCCTGCTACCTGGAGGGAAGACCTTAGGACTGGAGTTCCAGCATGAGTTTATGTTGCATCTCTGCTCCTGACAGTCCCCAGCATGGGATTGGCAGAATTTACCCTCCTTTCCAATGTTTTCCCTATTCATTCTAATACTAATGCCCTGATATCTTCATTGGCACCCTCAAGTGAATTCCCTCCTTACTCTGGCAGATTTCTTTAAATACTGATGGCCAGTAAGCATTGCACTCTGTTAGCAGTCCAGTAGGCCCAATAACAAGTACTTTAAAATTGAGGGCATTGTACTCTGTCTTGCACAGTATTTTGCTGTGGGTTTTTTTTCAAGCCACAACTGAAGCATCTGTTGATTCTAAAAACAATTTGCAACTGTTCATATTAACAAATTAAAAAAGGAGGTGAGAGACAAGTGCTTACAAGATTCCTTTCATGGTCACACTAATGAGTCGTTTGCAGACACTCAGTTGTGCAGTGAACTTACTGGACATCCATATGGCCAGAGACTAAATCTGCAAAAGCATATACATGATGTTGGGTGGCAGGTATCAAAATTAGTCAGTGGAATCGAGTAGCTTTAGAAAAGGGGCCTTGAGGGTTTTTTGACACATTTCACCTTTTTCAGCAAGGCTGAAAACTTGGGTATAGTTAAGTATGGCTTAGAATTGGGTTTAGATACAGCTATTTAACTTTATCAGACTATCCTGGGGAACTTTATAGTTCTTGGCTTCACGAATGATAATGATCTGCTGGGGAATTACTGTTTTATAAGTGAAAAGGCGAAAGTGGCTGTAGTTCTCTTTGTCCAGCCTCTAGTGTGTGATACATTATTGGACTGATTCCAGTTTCCTGTTTATATAGGGTCTGGCTTTGATGCGAGTACAAGAGATTAAGAAGCAGAAGCAGAGTTCCTGTTTTAGAAGTTTCTCATTAAGATGTATGGAAGTCCAGTGACACTCTGCTGACAATTATTAAAAACATCAGACTGGAGAGCACATACTTTTATATCAGCACCAAAGATTTAAAGGCGCACCACCTCAGTAACATCCCCACTACTTCATCTTTGATCAAAGCCACAGATTAGGAGGATATTTTGCATGTTGTTTTACACACGTTTTAAGCTAAGGAAGATCATTCTGAAAAACTTATTTGTCTATACAAGAGAATTTAAGAAAATAATTCCTACATTAAATAAAATCACAGAGTTTTTGTCTGAAGTTCATTTGTCAACCAAAGTGATTTGGAAACTGTTGATAGCAATTTGTTAGCTGCATTTTACATTAAGAAGTTGTACTTTACTTGCAGTTTCAGTGTCTTTAGCAAAGTTTCATGCCATTATCTCTTACTATACCTCTGACTGATTAATTACAGTTCTCCTTAGTACAGAGCTCCACCTCCCTGGGATTGAGATAGGGTAACCTATTGCCCTGACTCTTGCTGTTGTACTAATGACTCGTTTGGCAGTCCAAACTTTTTTGTTTTGTGTTGTTAATGAGTTACAAACCCCTGTTATTTTCTGTTTGTCATCTTTCATCAAGAAATGATAAATAAGTCTATGCATATGAATTCTGTTATATGCAATATAATTCTGGTAACAGCATATATGATAACTGGAGCATGATAACCAGTAACAGAAAGCTTATACTTACAGCTGTTTGAAAAATCACTGTCTTTATACATTTGAAATAGAGAACTGGCTAGATTTAATTTCTGCTCTGGTGTGTGTTTATACTGACTTTTTGTTCTTTTTTGTTACTTATGGTTGTGTAATTTACATTTACTTAATAATCCAGAATGTTTAGAAAATAGAAAAAGGGTTGTCTGCTGTAAAAGTACTCCTATCAGCAAGCGGGTAGTTGTCAAATGTTAAAACTAAATAAGATCCAACTGGGCATAATTAAACCAGGATTTCCACTTAATAAGGTGCATGCATGTATATTGGAACTGCTGAATTCAGAGGTGGACTGGATTATCCTTATATTAATTTTTAAGTTATTAGCTCTTGAAAAAAGAACTTAAAAATGAAGAGAGCTTATTAAGCTCAGCTCTGGTATCTTCAGTGAGACACCATGAGACTTCTTTCATGGAAGCTTCCTTCTCCTCTTCCATCCCCAGAAAATCAGGGCAATTTAGCTTTCTCTAGAAAGGGCCCACAACAGAATTTTTAAAGACAGTATTTATTTAATATGCCTGTAGAACAACAGACCTTGAATGGGGTTTTTTTTTTTTAGGTTTGTTATGTGAAAGCAGAGCTCACCATCTTAAATTCAGTTGAAATCTTATGTCCTTTTATATAACCTCCCTACCCATGGAGTGCTCAGTATGACTAAGGAATCCCTGTGAACACATCAGGTTATTGTGAACACATCTATGATTTTAATTGGGACTGGGTAAAACAAGTCTTCAGTTACATATCTGAGCACTGCAGCCATCTAACCCTGCTTCTTAGGTCCTCTCATCCTCTTAACACAAGTGCATGTTGAATTTTAGTCAGCCAGGAAATGCTGACCTGTGAGACCAAGGCGTGTTTGGCATGCTGTAATGTCAGGCTGTTACAGGGGTGCCCTCAGCTGATGGGGAGTGGCTGCAATGGTAAGCATGCATGCCTTTGTTAAACATAATCAGTATACCTGTAGTGTTTATATGTGGCTTGATTTATTTCCACTGGGACAGTGTTTTATTCTGCTTTAGATCCAACATGGAAGAGATCTGGCATGTCTTTGTTAACACTAGATACATAAAGTGCTCAAGAAAACATTAAAATCAAAGCTTTGCTCATATTTATATTTCTGTTCTGGATGCGATTTTGGAAGCAAAGCTGAATCTTACAATTAAACAGAGTGACTCTGAAGTCCTCCTCCTCAGAGCTGCAAAGATAGGCCATCACAGCAGCTGGCAAACCTGCCCTTTGCAGTG